TGCGTTCCTCTCTCGCTTCCTTCTTCTCTCTTTCTCACGGTCTCTCTTTATCTCTCTCTCTCTTTTCTCTCTTCATTTTACTCTGAACTTCACGGAACGCGGGCTTTTAGAAAACTAATTGACCGAGCCGAGAATCGGATCTCTTTCTTGGAAAATAAAGGCAACCCTTTCTTGCTTCAGCGGCGGCAGAAATATTTAAAAGGGTATTCTGGTCCACAGCGTCGAAAAAATGTAATTCTTTATGACTCTTCTTTGTGAAAGGTTGTGAAAAGGTATTTCGAGTTTTGTATAGTTATTGATTATCTGTGAATGAATATATCCATCAAATTTTTAAATTTCATTCGGATACTCTAGAAAGAAGTTTTTGAGAAAATATAAAAAAGAATAACAAATTCGAATTTTTTCAAGTCCTTACGAAAATACTCTTAAAAACATCAAGTCACTTTAGTTTCATGGCAGTAGTTCAAAACGGCGTTTTTATTCGATTATTTTATATTTATTCGTAGGTTTATCGATCCAGCTTATGTCTCCCTTTTTTTACTTTCGAAATGAATAAATGTGGTTGTAAGATGTACCTGAAATATTTATTCATAAATGAAACTATTATACAAAAGCTTTCAAAAAATATACGTCATATGGCTGCAATGATGGAACGAAGAGGTTAAGATTGATATTACGAACCATTAGCTTACGATGTATCTATGTTGTTGCAGATATTTTGTTGCAGATTTATCTAAAAATCGATTTGTTGTAGTGAGAATTTGTTCGTTGTTAATTGAGATTGTAACGTCGTTATGATAATTCACAGTGTGCAATGTGGACGCGCGTCACGTCGCTTGTTTACGACAGCTGTTGAATGGAGACTTTCATTGTACCTGTTTTATCGATCTTGTAACTCTTGTCTGCGTCATCTACTTTACAATGTGTTCGCGAGCGCACGAGTGTTGCATCGCGCTGGACCAAGAGAAAAAGAGAGAGAAATTTTCGTTTAAAACTCGAGTAAAAAGTATGGCTGTGCGAAATGAGCGCCCCTTTAAGTTTCCGTCTTTATTATTTAGTTCAAAGGATGCTCCACGGTCAGGTTTCGTTTTGCGTCGTTAAACGGGAACAAAACGAGGACTGTATGCTCCGAGTGTTCGCGCTCTTGAGTTTAAAATGACTCGACATTGTCTTTGATCGTACTCATTTTTTTTTCTAACGGAGGAATTATGCAACGAAGAAGGTGCTGATGTTTCTCGAAATCACGATTATCGTTTTAAGTTTCGCTTCTTTGGAAGAGACGGCAGAGTTTTCTTCGAAATTTTTCCAGTGATTCAACGTCTTGCAATTTTTCGGTGTTGCGAGATATCTTTATCGTCAGACTGATAATTCACTGTTTATTTTTACGATTTACGTTCAATTTTCAAATTATGTTTTATTCTACAATTTCACATTTGTTCTTATATTTTTTAAACATTTTAATAGAAATTTTGTAATTTTAGAAAAGAATATGAAAATGTGTTGTATGTATAATAGTATGTATAATAAATGTGAATGTATCTCATTTTGAGGTTAAGAAAAAATCAATTTATAACATATAATTCTGTGTGAGGGACATTTGTCAAGATTTGCAGCTTATTTCCTTACATAATTTTTAATGCTATATTGCACGTTTGATCCGCTGTCACACTTTCATGTTTTAATTTCGTATAAGAGAAACGATATATTTAACACAATCAATAAAATATTAGTGTAATATTTTCAAATATTCCTACGGATACTGTTATCGTCAACCTAAGAATAATTTCATCCAAAATCATTATTTTTAAACTATCTGTAAATCAATAATTACGAAGTTGTTCTCAAAAGTGAACAATTCAAAAATGTAGTCGATCTAACCTTCTATTTCACTAGTGTTTCCAATTTTTCTTTTATTTCTGTGTCAATACAATACAATAGAACACGATGAATCTGTGATCCGCTCTTTCACAATTTTCACAGTCGTGATAATTAACAGTGGAACTATCAAAGTAGTCACAAGGATTATTTTATAATTCTCACACAAATGTGTTGAATGTAAAACATAACAGTATTAGATTAAATAGGTTATTTAGACTTTTGTGACTGATGCAATGCACGAAGATCTAGCGTTAAATTCTGGAAACATCGCGCCGAACGAAATAAAAGAGGCGGTTACATTTCTCGGTCGATAATCATTTTTCAGCGGAACTCGAACACGGGCGCCAATAATTTCACATCGTCGGGACGTGTATTACGCTAAGCCTTTTATGCTGTACCTTTAGTAGCCCGTCGAGCTTCCATAAAGTCGCAAACTTATCAAGAAGCTTACTTCTGGTAAGCCGCATTTATCGATGAGCACCTACGTGTCGGTTCTTCGCGACATTCCTCGTAACTTCTCCTCTCGTCTGTCTTCTCGTGAATTTATTTTTCTATCCAGTGGATAAAGATTAATGTTCAACATATTGCACGCTGCGTTCTAGTGAGATAGATGGTAACTTTGGCCGCCATTGGAGTATCTCGCTAGTGGAACTGATGAACGCACTGTACACACGACCTTTTTCAACATTGTTGCAAGAGAGTATCGGATAGGTTGATTAAGGTCTGTCGACGATTGGAAAAGTTTCTCGAAGGCTTTCGAATCGAGCTGATAGGGAATTACCGATTTATCTTCGTGGAGGCTTATAATTAACTTGCTTATAACACGAGATATTCTGTGTTTACGGTCTTAACGTGGACATTGAACAGATAGGAAAAGGGTTATCGCTGTTAGACGAATTGTGAAGTGTGAAATAAATTTAATTAACCTTTTCATCTGTGTACTAAAAAGAGTCGGAGTACGGTTCAAAAATTGTGTATTCTTCCTATATACATTCCAAATTTTTAGTAATCGTTATAAAGAATTCACTACGATATCTTCTATACGTACTTTATCATTTAATAAGTAATTCATTTACGACATATGTACTTTAAAGATATTAAGTAGTTGAATGAAAGTTCGTTTCATTTTAAGAATTGTTCCAAATTACACAGTAGCCTGAATTATAATACTTTTAAGGATAAAATTATCCAAAGTAAATGCGTTAAGAATATTTTTGAATTATTAGGTTATAGTAGCACGTGGAAGTGGTCGTTGAAGTTTTTATTAATTGAAGAGATTATTTTTTACCTTCTTTTTATGAAAATCCGGCGAAACCGTGAAATATGCGCGTAAATGATAATTGTAGCGTTTCGTGCCGGCTCGTACGCACGATTTTAGAAAAGCCTCTAATTAAGAGCGGAACAACGTAAAGGGCGTAATGAACACGGTTCGCGGAACTTCGCTAGCCAACCTCGTTCCGAAGAATGGACCTCTTTAAAAATGTTTACCTGCATGTCAAAGGCGTCCGTGTAACCCTCTAGTGGCATACTGGCGGTAACGAGCCACGAATTTTACGTAATTAAAGCGAAAGCAATTAGTAGTCGAATCGTATAAGCCAAAGGGCAATGGTTAAAATTCTTTGGTATTTTAATCACGATTTTAAATTAAAACGTGGATTATTCATTCTTTCACTCCACTGTTATTACTCTAAACTGCTTGAGTTATAGGGAATTATTAATCTTCAATTATAGACTTCGAACAAAGTTGTACGTACGATGGGTTTCGTGGTGCCTTAATATAACTATAAATGATGTATGGTACATCGGCGACCCTCGCATCGTATTAGTTACGAATATAGCGGCCTATTAGCTCGATGTCAAAGTGGTGGAACGAATGAAGGCGCAGAAATGGGTCAAACTAACATTTTCTTTTTATGAAATATTGACGTTGATGGGACACTGTGAAATTCAATTACGCCGCGGAAGCCTTAGTGGACATTTGATATTTCATGTGCACAATGCCTACGATGTGCATCGAAAGGTTCGTTTTGAAAGAGATGAAAATGCTCCATGTGGGGTCTTTGCACTTGAAATTCTACCTACATACATACACATACGGATCCAATAAATAACGCTGCCTTTGCGGAAGGACTACAGGGGAGAGATGTTGCGCAATATTTTTCAATATTTCTCTGACCATTGCGCTCTTTCGATATACATATTGCTGAAACGAAAAATTGTTATACAGAATATAATTTAAACTTGTTGCCTTTTGTATGAAAATGATCGTTAATTAAATAAAATTATCCATTTTCTGAATATCCTTTTTTTTTTTAATATTGTCGGTACGTAAATTTTACACATTAGTTATAATTTAAATGCAATATTCCGTGAATTAATTATTGATATTGAATTTAGCACGAACCCAATAAAAAATATTATCACCTAATTTGAATAATAATTACATTTTAGAGCGCCTTCACTAATCACCTCGCGACAATTTAAGAAGCTATTAATTATAATTTCAAATAGAAGAGGGAGGTTCTTACCTCCTTGGGACTCATTAATCAAAACTTCTTATCCTTTAATCTTTGCACTCAGGAAGAATTGCGTTTCCTTAATGGCACTTTTCGAACGACCATGCTCTTTTGAATGAAATTTCTTTTGAGAATTTTCTTCTGAATCTTCAATCTTGTTTTGCAGAAAATGGTTGCGGAAAAGTACGATAAAGCCGACCCCGAGCTAAAAGAAGAATTGAGGAAGATCGCTCAACAGATCGTTGCACCTGGAAAGGGTATCCTCGCTGCTGATGAATCGACCGCGACGATCGGCAAACGTCTTAAGGACATCAACGTTGAGAACACCGAGGAAAACCGCAAAGCGTACAGACAGCTTCTTTTCACCGCTGCAAAAGTAATATCTACCAGCTGGAATTTAACATTTCCTTTTGTTTTCATGGAACATAAAGAGTTGAAAAATACTTTTTTTTTTAATCATTCGTCAAGTAGATGTACCTCAATCGAATTATCATTTAACAGTAGAATTAGTCAATTTTTTAACTTAACAAATATTAATACCTTTTTCTTCTTTTTTTTTTTATAAAGGATGTCATCGGTCAGCATATCTCTGGTGTCATCTTGTACCACGAGACCCTCTACCAGAAAGCCGATGATGGAACACCATTCGTTGAGCTTTTGAAGCAACGTGGCATCCTGCCAGGCATTAAGGTCGACAAGGGTGTCGTTCCACTGTTCGGTACCGATGACGAATGCACCACCCAGGGTCTCGACGATCTCCAGGCCCGTTGCATCCAGTACAAGAAGGACGGATGCCAATTCGCTAAATGGAGGTGCGTGTTGAAGATCAAGAATGGTTGCCCGAGCAAGTTGGCCATCTTGGAGAACGCCAATGTCCTGGCTCGTTATGCTTCCATCTGCCAGAGTGCCAGAATCGTGCCTATTGTTGAACCTGAGATCTTACCTGACGGTGACCACGACCTTGCCCGTTGCCAACAAGTCACGGAAGAAGTCTTGGCCGCTGTATACAAGGTGAGAATGGTGATCTGCATACTGATTCAGTATCTTCTGCTATGGAATATTAACCTTTTATCTAGCTGTAAATTCAGTGTTATATAAGTTGTTAGTGTATAGAGTCTCTTCTATAATTGGAATGAACTGTAGCCTTTGAAATGATAGAACATGAAAGGAAATGTCATAAGGCAAAGTTAAATGGCTTAGGTTCTCTTCTGTAGTTCTATATTAGTTGTGTAAGTCAGTGATGAATATTCACACCTTTTTTCTGCTTCTAATGGAATCTCATGTTTTCCAATATAATTTACTTTCTTATATTCAAGTTGAAAAGTGCATATTTGAGAAATTGTTAATGTTCAATCTTGCTTTATAATATTTTCTTCCATTTCCTTTTACACCTTTTCTTGTATTTTCATTTTTTGCGTTTTCCTGTGAATTCTATCATATATTACTTTTTAGGCTCTTGCTGACCATCATGTGTATCTCGAGGGAACTCTCCTGAAACCGAATATGGTAACACCTGGACAGAGCTGCCCGAAGAAGGCAGCTCCTATGGAAATTGCCGGTGCCACGGTGACCGCTTTGTTGCGCACTGTGCCACCAGCGGTGCCTGGAATCACCTTCCTCAGCGGTGGACAATCAGAAGAGGAGGCATCTCTGAACTTGAGTGCCATCAACAGTTTCCCTGCGAAGAAACCATGGGCATTGACCTTCAGTTACGGTCGCGCTCTTCAGGCCTCTGTCCTCCGTGCATGGGGTGGCAAGAAGGACCTGGTGGGTGCTGGCCAGGACGAACTTATCAAGAGGGCTAAGGTAACTTTGAGGCTAAGCTTCCATGGCTTTAAATTTTGTTCTTTAGGTTTTATAATTCTTTAAGCATTTCTTTTATTCTTTGATGCGTTCTGCGACATTCAGTAGAGTAGTTACCTCCTTATTTTTCTTTTAATTGTTGTAACTAATATCTTTCATTTACTTAGCTACATTTCTTTTATCTGTAGTTATGTACCTACATTTCTTCTACTAAAATATGTTTTTCTGTTTGTGTATATATCTACTTTTATTCTTTTTCATCTGCATTTTACTATCTATAACTCCTTTATTCTTGCAATTTTATCTCTACAATTTTCTCTTCTTTTTTGTGCAATTATATGTCTTGCATCTTTAAATAACTGTATATATTTCATTTTTTCCAAGTGCTCTTAATGTTTATCTATTATTTTATTTAACTTCCATCATTTATGTTTATTTATCACTGTTTTACTTAATCTTAATTTTTTTTCTATTATTTGTTTCTCGCATGTGTGTACACTGTGTGCTTGTTTAGGCAAACAGCGCAGCCTCCCAAGGCAAATACGTTGCTGGCAGTGTTGTTAGCAAAGCTGCAAATACCTCTCTCTACGTGAAATCTCATGCCTACTAAACCCTTTCTTTCTTTTTATGAGCAATGTTTTCATAGTAAGTACCATAGATTAGTTCTGCATTTGTTTTATAATGCTTCTTATACTATATGTAAATACTAACAATTATGTGAATTAAATGTATCTCAATATCTACCACTACAAGTCATCATTCGTAGTTATAAGCTATTATTTTTAACTATTATTATCAATAAGTTTTGATTATACTTTTTGATATTTTATTAATACATACTCAATTTACTTAATTTATATTTTTTCTATTCATAGGCTAACAGTGCTGCGGCGCTCGGCGAATACGGTGGTGGTGTGAAAGGAGCCGCTGGCAATGCCGCGCTCTTCGTCGCGAACCATGCGTACTAAATTAGTCACTAGAAACACCCAATAAGGTTTAGATAATTAGATCGTTCGTCGAACATCGTCAACGTCGATCATCGTTGCCGGCATGAAAACATTACCATCGACAGTGAAGATGAAGAACGAATGAAGAAGACTCAAAACGCCTCGAAATGCTCGAAACTCAAAACGATCGTACAGTTTCTGTATAGTTTTACATTTTATTTCTCAAATCACGACATCGAAATCAATTGAATTTTAACTTGTCGCGATAATTGGAACCTTAACGTCGTAATTTTAAAACGGATTGGAATTTTAACTATGATTTTTAACCGGGAATATATAGGGTGCGGTCGAATAACATGTACAAGCGGGGACGAAGTGATTCCTTATGAAAAAATAAGAACAAAATATGGAATAAAATTTTTTCATTTAAGGCTTAGTTTTCGAGAAAATCGAGTTTGAAAATCCGATGCGTACGTATGCTGTTACAGCTAAGTTACGGTTCATCGAGCAAGGTATAACGCGTATCGTGTTTGTAAACAATGTCTACACAGCATTTAAAAGTTACTGAGTTCAAGAAAAAATACACAGAAGACTTTTAAAGAACAACTTATACGCGTTATAAGTTGTTCAAACTCGATTTTCTGGTAAACTAAGCCTTAAATGAAAAAATTTTATTCCATATTTTGTTCTTATTTTTTCATAAGGAATCACCTCATGCCCGCTTGTACATGTTATTCGGCCGCACCCTGTAGAGGAACTGAGGAATATATTGTGTTTCGAGTCGTGAAAATCGAACACTCAGGATTACGTTAACATCTGTTCGACGTTGTCGACCACGATCGATTCTCCTCGTCGATGTCGTGTTTCTGAACGAGAGAGAGACGAACGATCACCACCGTTTTTTCTGCTTTAATACTTTCTATTTTATGCTACTATGCTATTCCTTGACTCCCTTCCTTACTTTTATCCTCGCTCCTGTATTCGTTTTTTCTAGGATTACGTGACACGACGGAGAGTGTTTAACGTGTCTTCATCGCAGTGTCATTCGTTTCGAGCTCGTTGCTAAGGTCTACGGCAATCGTCGAGAGGAACGTGGTCGGCGCGTTTATGCACGCGAGCCTATCGGGCACAAATCAATTGGAAATGAAGATAGATGCTTTACTCAGATCGTGAACAAATTTCGTGACATTCGAATTACGCACGCGCTATTATATTCTGTAACACTACGATAAAAAAAACAGATATATATTATATATATTGTCAATGTCGTTATGATATTCTACGTGTATAAAAAAAAAACAAAAAAAAATGAAAAAACAAAGTAAAAATACATATTAAATGTTGTTTGTTAGTGAATGAGTCGAATATTATGAAGTCGTAATATTATGTCATCTACTTATACAATATGTGTATCTTATATAGATATTTAAGTAACGTATTGAAAAGTATCTCGTACATCGATGTTATATCTAATATTTTCATTGTAATCTAGGTCACCAAATACACTGTGGAGGGTATATTGTGCGTTTCTTTATTTCAAACCTATCCCAATACATAAGTTTTTTGTTTCTGGTAATAAAAATCTTATAAAATCTGGTAAAATCTTAACAGTACAAGGTTCTATATAGAAATTGTAGTTATAAATGAATCGATATTTATTTTTTAACATGATCGAATCTATTCATATATGAATAACTATGGAAAGTTTTCATTACTTAGTTAGCATAATAGTTAATTATTGTATCGAGTAATTCGCAATTTATTGAGTAATATTTATATTCTTTTTTACTTATGATATTACTCTTATTTTAGTTATACAGGGTACCTGTTTTAATTGGACACTGTTTAATATCCCATAAGAAACTGAAAATATCAAAAAAATGTTCTTACAAAAGATGATTGGTATATTCACTAATTCACTATTTCACGATTGTCCTTACACCCTGTATACATACTTGGCACCAAAAAGCGTACACTAGTATGTACCACAGGCGAGGTACAGGATAGACCTAACATCTTATACGACTTTGTGTTCACGGCACGACGGCAGTCAGTGATGCCAGAGCATCGAGGGACGTGGGCGAAAGCAGTTACCCCCACTATGACCTACTGCCGTTTCCCACTATATCGTCCTTGTGCTCTCACGCAAGTGTAGCGGTAGCTCTGTCCGTGCGCAAAGCCTATTCGGCTCTTTCCGCCAATTATCTACGTCACCACGTGACACTCGAGCAACCTGAACGCATGAGTAAAAATTAGGAAATTCCCTTCGAATCTCGGTCAGACGCAGTGTTACGAGTACACATGTATGTATATGGGCGTTCGGGATAAAAATCATAACTTCTAAATTAATCAATTTTCGACCTAAGTTCTCTAATACTTTTCTGACGAGAATTCAAATATGCATTGATTGGCACATAAAAAAATATATGGTTTCATTTAAAAAAATTGTAGCGACCTTTATTTATCATTCCGAGATGTTTCCTTGTTAGGGAACCAGAAATTTGATTCGATTTTTTTAAAAGTTTAATGTTTAATTAACCAATAATTGTGCTGAGTTTGAAAAAAAACCATGACATAGAGGCAGAAAGTGTCCAATTTAACATGAAATGTTTCGTATTCAAGATACATTATATTCTCCACAAGTGTCAGACCGCAAGGAAGCTAAACCTGACAATCGTAGAGTCAGGGACTACGTTTTCGAGCCTCGCGCCCGCCTTTTTAGTTTGCCGAACGTAGACAAGGACAGCGAATAAACGATAAGCATGAAACATGAGTCGAGGCAACCAAGCGATTTAAATATCAACTTTTTTAATTTTACGTCGTATATATTCCGAAAACCGATTTTTAATTGCGAAACACTACTGAGACGGTTTAATTTGGGGCAGCCAGCTCATATTTGAGCTGGCAATACACAACACAACTAACTACTAAACCAAATCACCAGAAAAAAACCCATTTTTGTAACTCACTGTTCGCTGATTAAACAGCTGAGCTCTGCAACGTGGATTTGACTGCATTTTCTCCTCCCTTCCTTCCTTCCTTCCTCGCAGTTCCGATTGATTTTGCAAGACTCACAAACTCACAAAATGTGACAGTCACTGTGGAATGGACGACGCGAAAAGTACTTCGAAACGCGATTTATTTCAGTTTTATTCAGTGAGGGGAAACCGCGAATTTATATTACTTTCAATATTATTATTGAACTAAACATTCGTAGAACGCGAGTGAAAAATTGAAAGAATCAAAAGAAAAAACGCGAATTCGTATCTTTTTCGATTTGAGAATATAAGAAAATTTGAATAAAATACGCGACGAGAATTGCGGAGAAGCATAAGTTAAACGCGTAAAAATATTCAATAATAAACGAACTAGGGATGAAGCTGTTATTTCAATACGCGATGCACTGGTTCTAGTATTTACTAAAATTCAAAAATTCTCGTATAAATTCCGAAAATAGATTATTAATTACGGTAAACTACTGAGACGGTTTAATTAAGGGTGGGCATGGTGCTGCTTTAGTTTGAAATGATTTATAAACACATAATTAACAGAGGAAAAACCGTGAAACGGCAAAACGTCTACATTCTAATTGTTATAACATGTAAACAGAACTTTAAATTTAGTGTAAACAGAAAAAATATATAATACAATTTATTTCACGGTATTGCAACAAATAAACGTTGAATCAATATTTAATTCGTATAAAAACAATTATTTAACGTAATAATTTTACCTTCACTATGGCTATTTTTAATCTACGACCACAGGTCAACCTGATATCTAATCCTTACGAACTTTAAATTCAGTCGAAACTGAGAAAATATATAATACAATTTATTTCACGGTATTGCAACAAATAAACGTTGAATAAATATTTAATTCGTATAAAAACAATTATTTAACGTAATAATTTTACCTTCACTATGGCTATTTTTAATCTACGACCACAGGTCAACCTGATTTCTAATCCTTACGAACTTTAAATTCAGTCTAAACTGAGAAAATATATAATACAATTTATTTCACGGTATTGCAACAAACAAACGTTGAATAGATTCTTAATTCGTATAGAAACATTTATTTAAAATAATAATTTCACCTTCACTATGGCTATTTTAAATTTACGACCAAGGGTCAACCTGATTTTTAATCCTCCGAACTTGATTTCACAACGAGAAAGTAATAAGATCGTTGAAACGTACTTATTTGTCAAAGAAACTTGCAAAAATGTATAAATAATAATATGTAATGTTTTAACAAATTTTTGGAAGTATAAATTAATAATAAAATTGTGAAAATTAATAAATTATACGTTATTATAACATTAATAGAATTATGACTAAACCGAAGTTCGAAGTCGAGTATTTAAAGTCTGATATTACGTGCCTAGCGAGTGCCGGTAATTGTTAAAATTTGTTTAATAATTAGTAATAGAAATTCTAATTGATTCTAATGTATACAAGTGTTACAAGAAGGCTGAGTGTGTACAGGGTGGACATAGACTAGCTAGTAGCCCCCGACCACTCTATTCACATCTCAGAACCTTCAGGTCAAAATACGCCGCGAAGTGTCTAGGGCCCAGTATAAAGGGTAAATGATTTCGCGGGACATCGGCGGGTCCTTATATACCTGCGGTACCCTCTCCCCAAAGTCATTAGCAAAATCGTCGGTTAGGTCAGGCGGGAACTTTTCGCGGGAAATTTTCGCGGGAGATTTCTGTTATCGTAACACGGTATAATTTATCAATTTTCACAATTTTGTTCTAAATTTATACTTCCGACAATTTGTTATAACATTGCATATACCAATTTATACGTTTTTACAATATTCTTCAATGGAAACATAGGTTTTAGCGTTCTCGTTACTTACTCGTGGTTAAATTAATTTCGTAGGGATTAAAAATCAGGTTGACCTGTGGTCGTAGATTAAAAATAACCATAGTACAGCTAAATTTATCGTGATAAATAATTCTTTTTACACGAATCAAAAATGTATTCAACGTTTGTTTGGTATAATATCGTGAAATGAATTATATTACACGATTTCTCCACCAAACTGGACAAAGTACAACTAGTATTTATCAAAATGATTTTGCTCTCTAGAAGAAATAGAGTTTGTATCGTAAGAACGTATAAATTGTTATATGCAATGTTATAACAAATTGTCTGATGTATAAATTTATAACAAAATTGTGAAAATAGATAAATTACAATTCTGCCTAAATTTTTAAAATTCAGAAGAACACAGGTAAACTTCCATTGCATTTAAACGATATTCTCCACCAAACTGGACAAAGTACAGTAAATTCTCTACAAGAGTCAGTAAGTTTACTGTCTCGCAACGTAAATTTAAGTAAATTAGGATGAACTGCACAGAAAATGCACAGACAATGCCAAATAATTCATTTCACGATATTATAACAAACAAACGTTGAATACATTTTTGATTCGTGTAAGAAGAATTATTTAACACGATAAATTTAGCTGTACTATGGTTATTTTTAATCTACGACCACAGGTCAACCTGATTTTTAATCCCTACGAAATTAATTTAACCACGAGTAAGTAACGAGAACGCTAAAACCTATGTTTCCATTGAAGAATATTGTAAAAACGTATAAATTGTTATATGCAATGTTATAACAAATTGTCGGAAGTATAAATTTAGAACAAAATTGTGAAAATTGATAAATTATACCGTGTTACGATAACAGAAATCTCCCGCGAAAATCTCCCGCGAAAATTTCCCGCCTGACCTAACCGACGATTTTGCTAATGACTTTGGGGAGAGGGTACCGCAGGTATATAAGGACCCGCCGATGTCCCGCGAAATCATTTACCCTTTATACTGGGCCCTAGACACTTCGCGGCGTATTTTGACCTGAAGGTTCTGAGATGTGAATAGAGTGGTCGGGGGCTACTAGCTAGTCTATGTCCACCCTGTACACACTCAGCCTTCTTGTAACACTTGTATACATTAGAATCAATTAGAATTTCTATTACTAATTATTAAACAAATTTTAACAATTACCGGCACTCGCTAGGCACGTAATATCAGACTTTAAATACTCGACTTCGAACTTCGGTTTAGTCATAATTCTATTAATG